AGAAAATTACATCATAAATCTCAATATAAAAGAACACTAAATCAATATAAGAATTAGATTTATTTTGACGTTAACAATAGAGCTTAAATTACAAGAAAAAGATGTATTAGAGATACAAAACCATACAGTGATCGGAGTAACGTAAACCTTGTTGACTTGTAAAGAGTCAAGAATCGATACTATTTGAAAAAACGAATGTCGATTATATATGAGATGTATAATAAATTTGAAACCCTATTTCATAATAATGTTTTTTATGTTATACATTTTATTTTCATTTTCTCAAAAATAATAATTAATATATATAACAAACAACGAAAACACTAATTTTTAACATAATACGTTTGAGAAACGTCTCTAAATTCGAAAGATTTCGTCCCCTTTAATTGTCGACGTCCCTAATATGTTAGAGACATCTCGGAGACGTTTCGGTGGTATCTCCGAGCCATACCCAGCTCAGGGACGTTTCCGGTACGGAAGACGGCATCAAAACAAAGTACCTGTGCTTCATAGGTTATTAGGGATCCAAGGGGGACGACGAGTCTTACCCCTCCACCATACATAGATGCATGTATGGGCTATTACAAACCATGGCTAGCTTAAAAAGGAAGAAGTTTTGTGTTGCCTGTTTATAACATTCAAATATACAATGTCAAGTTTTTGTTTGATTGATATTTGTGTTCTCTAATGATTTAGAGATAAAATTATATATTTATTTAACCGATAAATGAAATGTATTTATGACCCATAAATTTTTATATACTGTACTTTTTTAGTTCATCTTCTTTTTAAAATGTCAATTAAGATAATTTGCTTTTGTTCAAATCACAGATGATATAATTGGATTAATTATCTAGTTTTTGGTTAATTAAAGGGAGATTAGCTAGAATAACCTATTTTTTTTAAAATAGCTAGAATAATCTTACTAATTTTTTATTGTTGAAATAATCTATTCTAGATTTTTTTTCTTTCATAATACCAAAATTGTCCTTCGCAGACTCTGCCGAGGTATTAGTAGACTATGCCGAAACATTGGCAGTCTCTGCCGAAACATTAGCAGACTCTACCGATGTATTGACAGACTTTGCCAATATCTAAAAATACGTAGATTTTGCCAAACTATTGGCAGACTCTGCCGAAACATTGGCAGACTCCGCCGAGGTATTGGCAGACTCTGCCGAATCATTGGCAGACTCTGCCGAATCATTGGCAGACTCTACGGAAACATTGGTAGACTCTATCGATATATTGGCAGACTCTGCCAATATCTAGAAATACGTAAACTCTGCCAAAATATTAGCAGAGTCTACCAATGTTCAGCAGAGTCTGCCAATACCTCAGCAAAGTCTGCCAATACCTCGGCAGAACTGCCAAGAGCAATTTTGATATTATGAAAGAAAAAAAAATCCAGAATAGGTTATTTCAGCAATAAAGAAAATGATAAGGTTATTCTAGCTATTTTAAAAAAAAAGTACGTTATTATAGGTAAATTTTTCTTAATTAAATGAATGAAAACCACTCAACGACTTTTTTGTCCTCTATAAATACCCAACCGACGAAAGTCGCCACACCACTGCTAAAACAGAATCCGCTACAATCAAAACTCAGTGAGCGAACAAAGAAATTAGAGTGAATCTTTCAACTTGAGACTTCCAAATATGACGGGCGATTTGGTGGATCTGTTCACCGGCGGCGGAAATGTGAAGACGAAGGTGAAGGGAACGGTGGTTCTGATGAAGAAGAACGTCCTCGATTTCAACGATTTCAACGCTTCGTTTCTCGATCGCCTCCATGAGTTTCTCGGAAACAAAGTCACTCTTCGACTTATTAGCTCTGATCTTAGTGATCCAGGTTACCGCAGAACATAAATGAATTTTTCTTCGTCGTCGTTTTCTTTTTATTTATTTATTTCGTTTTTCTGAAGTTATTCTCTCATTTTAATTGACTGGTTTGTGAATTAAGTAATCCTTAATTATTAAATTATTTATCCAAAAAAAACACATAATATAATTTTTAAGTTCGTGATTACCGATATATTTGTTATTTTCCACAGACCTATTATCTTCTTGTCCTGTGTGTGTGTGTTTGTTTTTTGGTTAGTTGAAGAAATTATGAGACCAATAAAAAATAAATCTGTGAGACCATTGTTTGGATATATTCAAGTTAATGTGAACTTGTTTTTTTTTTTTTGAGAAAATCAAAAAAATTCTCTTGGTTTTTTTTTTTTTTTGAGAAATAAATTCTCTTGTTTGTTTTGATATAAGGAAACTTATACAGCAAGAAAGCTTGGAATTATTTTGGCTTTTTTCCTCCCAAAAGGCTTAAAAACATTATTCTCCCGGAAAAGATGATAAAATCAGATACTCTGTTTGTCCTTACCTTCATCTTTAATCATTTCCCCTCAACAAACGAAATTTTAATTTTCTCCTCATTTTTTTGGATTTTTTTTTTTATCAGTGGACTATTTTAATGAAAATATAAGTCTGGAATTTTTACTTGCTCTTTTGTGTCTCTCGATAATAGTAATTTCAATTTTAAGATTATTCACCAATTAGATAGTTTGTAATATTGAAATTCAAAGGAAGTTTCGAAACACAGTCAAAATTAAATAACATTGTTAAGACTTAAGAGTTTAACGTTTCATCTCATTTTTGTTTACTCTATGTTACATTGGCATATATAGTGTTTTGATTTTAGATCTGGTCGATGTCAATTAAAATATTTAATGAGATATATCCAAATAAAAGCAAAAGATAAATTAAAATGCTCTGTTTTACCTTTTTTTTTTTTTTTGAAAATTCTGTTTTACCTTGGTCCATGGCATGAAGTAGAGTAGAGTGTCGTTACTTGTCCAGA